CTTCCTTCCTTCCTTCCTTCCTTCCTTCCTTCCTTCCTTCCTATTTTTTCCTCTTATACATTTTTGGGCAAAGGATTAAGCACAAAAAAGATGTTGAGTTTCAGCTTTCAAATACAATTATCAAATACCTGAGAACAGGGCAGTAGGTTGTGCCAGGTTCCTTTCTTTCTTTCCTTTTGTGAGGCACAGTCATTGAGAGGGTGGAGCTGAGTGAGTACATTCGAGAGACTGTTTGCACTCACCTCTGAAGGGATAAACATTCAGAAAACACTCGATATTCCTGAAGGAATCCTTCCTTAATACAGGAAGTGACGGCTTTGTGAAGGCACCACAATTAAGCTCTGGTTTTTCAATCTCAAAATCCCAGGATTGAATTTCTAGAAGAAATGAGCCGAATGGGATGCTTCATGGAGCTGCTTAGAATTACAGCCAACTTGGTTCTAAAGCTTGTTGAACTGAATGCAGGGCATCTGAGCTTGGCTTAACTAACCTCCAGGCACCTCTCTGCATCCTGAGCCAGCTGAAACTGCAAACTTTAAACTCTGATGGGCGCATCAAGAAGAAGATGCTACCGACATGACATGAGAGTTCTTTTCAGTATATCCATACTCTTCCTCTGCCATGACTTACTGCCTCCTATTCCTGTTTGAATTTCCCTTGCTTTGCATTTGGATTCAACAGATGACTAGGTTATATCTGATAATGGTTTTCTTCCACACCTGAGGACTGAGGTTAGGGATAGAAGCAGGCAGACTCTATTGGTGTGACCCTTGTTGCAGCTTCATCAGGTAGACATTGTGCAGGAAGCAGAGGACCAGGAGATACAAGAGAGGGAGGAGTCACTGACTTAGGAAAGTGAGGATTTTGAATTTTTCTCTTCTCTCTCAAAGGTCATGGAAGGTCATAGATGTCCTACCATTTATTTGGCAGATCTTATGTTCTCAGTCAGTTCTTCCTTCTGCTCACTACTCTGTTTAAATGATTGCTTCTGGAGCCTGGGGAGATGGCCCAGTGGTTAGAGCACTGGCTACTCTTCCAGGGGACCTGGGTTCAGTTCTCAGCACTCACAGGGTAGCTCACCACTGTCTGTCAAAGGAACCAACACCCTCACACATACATACAGACAAAACACCAGTGCACATACAATATAAAAATAATAATGTTTTAAAAAATTAAATGATGTCTTCTCCTCGTGTCATCTCCTCTCTCACTGAGACTCTCCCATCTTTGTGTCCATGTCCTATTGTTTGACATTTCCTCCTTACTTCCTGTCATCAGACATCAGCTCCAGGCCAGCTTCTATATTTCCAACTATGGCCCCTGACCTGAGAGTGAGGGTCACATTTCCATGTGGATTCTCACAGCTTTTTGCACCTACCCAGCTTGAAAGCAAGTCTATCCTTTTACCTCCAACATTCCTTACTAGTTTGGTTTGAGGTAAAGCACTTACCTCAGGAGAAATAGGATAAGTGGAGGGTCACAGTCCATTATCACCTTCCCCTTGCTGATTTATCTAAGAGAAATCTTCAATCTAATAAAAATCTCCTCCATTTAGGAGACCAGGAGAAGGCCTAAGGATTTGCTGGGGGACCACTGAGGGGTGGTCACTGTTTTCTCGTTGGAACCCGTGGTCCACTGAGGTTCCCTATGCCACCTTCACTGAACATCCTATGAAACACACCAGTGAGAAGTTCATTGAGATCTGCAAGGTAGGTGGTGCCTTGTCACATGTTAGCTCTGTTGGCAAAGCTGTGTGCTTCTAGACTATAATATGTCTTAAAAACTGTTCGGACACAACCTAAAGGTTAGATAAAAGTTTAATGCCTCTTTAGACATGTAAAGAGTATAGCTATTTCATAGAAACCATTTATACATTATATTTATGTGACCATAATGTGTCCCTTCTCTCTTGGTGCCTTCTTTTAATAGAATAGTATAGAAAATTACAGTACTTATGTTTGGCTTACTGTATTTATTGCAAGAGGGTGCAAGTGATTTTTCTGTATACAGATACATTGGAATTGGCATATTCTGGGAAGAAATATGGAATAGTGTGAAGTGTGTTTTGTCATATTGGCTCTGTGGTCATACCATACAAAGTTATTATTTTCCATGGAATGGGCTTGCTAGTCTGATGTCTAGAGTGAATGTGGAAGAGTCTACCCTTCCTGCTGATCTCACTGGACTGTTACCCATTCAAATGATTAGCATGCTTAAATGCTCCACAGAACTCAGAGCAGCTATGCCTTCAGTCATCATCCTCTCAGATTCTGAGGCCTTCAGTGTCAGGGACAGTTCCTCAGACTATTCTCTCATTGTTTCCAGATGACTTAAGTTCAGGGACATTCTACACAGTTAGAAAGTAAAGCCGCTGGGGTTGAAGAGTTCATTGAAAAATCAAGCTATTTTCATAAAACCAAATACACATATGAGTCTGTACATATAGATGGAGAATTTTCATCTTTTCTGTTCCTTTATAATGCTTACTTGATGTCTGTCTTTTACATTAAAATATTATAACTCATTTAATATAAATTGAAAACTTGGTTGTTGGTAAGTCTTTTTGATAACGCATTAGAATTTTTACATTAATGTACACATTTGTGCAAGTCAGTTTGTGAGGTGTAAATAAAGAAACTAGTAAGTATCTTACTGTATGAGCCTTTGAGGCACCATGTCTGTGATCAGAAGCTAGATGGGATCTTAATTTCTGCTAATACAGAGAGAAATTGGCTTCAATCCTTTCTGCTCCCAGGGAAAAATTAGCAGTCCTCTTGGGACTCATGCAGGTGTCCTCAGAGGTTCATGGTTTCAGGGCTGACCCTGGCTCCAACTACTGACCACACTGAATTAGTTCAGGGATCATGTTGCTGCACTTCATGTGATATTAGTTTCGCAATCCCACAGGCAAAGCATCAACATCAGCTCCCAGGTTGACTCTTTACCCCTTATAGCCAAGAAAACAAAACAAAGTGAAAACCAAGACCAGCACCATAAAGCTTCCACCGCAGCTTGCTGTAAGAGCGGACTTGCTCTTAGAGCAAGAGGAGTCAAGAGGAGGAGGAGTGAAGGAGTCAAGAGGAGGAGGGAGAGTTTCTTTTTAAAGTGCCCAACTTCAGGGTACCAGATCACCCTTTGTTCAGAAGTCCTTTGGAGAAACAAACATGCTCCCATTGTATCCTCTGCCCTCTCTAGTTCACACCCTCCCAAAACTCCTGGTTTTCATTGTTATTATGAGTAGCGTTGGAAGAGACATTTATTAAGATGCTTGTTAATCCAGACTAAAACACATAATAATGAATCTTCTGAAGGGAATGCCCTTTTATTTTAAAGAAACATCTTTTAAAATCATTACAATGATATATATTTTTGTATTCATAGTTGAATTTTCTTCCTAGCCAATATAAATACTAAGTGATTTAGTTTTAAAATGTGTCACTCCCTGGGACAAGCCTTCTCTTATTCCTTGGACTTGATGCAGTAGGTACTTAATTCTGAATGTCCTTTGCTGGAAGAAGTTTACAATGAATGATTAAGGAGTATGTTCTATGAGCTACAGAGAAATGCAATGCCCTGATGATACTTTATTTTAGTCTGCTACACACATATGAAATCAAATAATTTTTTTTCAAAGAAAATGAAAGGTAAAATATTGAAGGGATTTGAATCATTGCCTAAGCATTCAAGAATGTAGTTGAGAGCCTAGAGCCTTGTGTAAGTGCCTGTGCGCTCTCTCTCTCTCTCTCTCTCTCTCTCTCTCTCTCTCTCTCTCTCTCTGTGTGTGTGTGTGTGTGTGTGGTGTATGTGCATGCATGCACATGTTTGTGTGTGTGCATGTGTGTGTATGAAGCAAATGCATGGCTATATGAACGTTACGAATATTAGTTTTTTGGTTGGTTTTTTAGCCAATCATATTACTATATGTCTCTGTTAAATGTGTTGATTTTAAGGTTCCCTTTTCTTTATGTTAGTGTATAGAAGATAGGCAGAATTCCTTACAGAGCAGAGTTAGAGGTTTCTTCAAGGGATGAAAGTGGACAATGACCAATGGGGACTTTGCATAGCATGCAGTCTGGAGGAACAAGTTTAGATGATAGTCAGGGAGATCATTGCAATATCATTTCTTTTTAAAGTAAGTCCATGTCCATGGCCTTCTATTTTTTTCCTGGCATAAGCCTGGAACTTTCGTTTGCTAAAGCCAATTCTTAACTCAAAGATCTTTCCAAATAAAGCCCTCTGGGAAAGCAAATGATCTCAATATGGGATGTGAGATGCTAAGTCTTTGATCTGGGTCTCCGAGTCTCAGTTTCTTTTTGTTGGTGGTTTATATGTCATAACATTATGTGTAATCATGGCTTTTCCAGCATCGAGTTTGAATAAGACTTTGTTAAACTAATGTAGAAGAGGAGATTTGAAGAGGCCTTTTTGAATCTTGAATAGTACTTACACGAATATGTTCATGTAACATGAGATTTTTAAAGGATTAAGATTGTTTTCAATTTCTCTTATTAATAAAATAGGAAGAAGAGAAAAATGGGAGAAATGCTAAAGCAAACTCAGGAAGTAATTCACCTCAATTCCACAAACTCTGTGTCGCACTCAGGGATGAGAAACTATGAAGTTGAGTTACAGGTCATCAAAAATGTTCAAGTAACTTGCAAGCTAATGATACAACCTATTACTAAAGATATATTCAAATTCATCCTTTCCCAGAGCACTTCACTTAGAATCCCTTTGTTCACTGAACATTTTCTGGCATTTGCAGAATACAGGTAGAATTGTTGCTAAGGATACAAACATAAATGTGACAATATTCATACCATGTGAATTTAAGTATTTAACAGAAGAGGCAGGTAAATAGGCAGAGATTTAAATGCGGAAATAAATAGACTGAAACAAAAGTTTGATTTCAGTGAAAAAGACTGGAGATTGATACATCCACGGAGAAAGAATAGTTCACCTGGTGTGTAATCTGCAGATTCCCCTGATATGATATACAATAACTTAGAAAATATTAATAAGAGCCCGATAAAGTTAGGAGTATAGAATGGAGTGAGAAAATTTTGAATTACTCAGCAGGGAGTTAATAAAAAGCACATGACTGATATGATATAGGAAATGGTAGAAAAGTTAGGATGCAGTATTTACTGGGTTTTTAAGACAGTCGTTACATTAACTTTGAATGGAGAAAATCAGAGTGGGAGGTGTTAGTTTAGCTTGTGAGTTGTTAGGCTTGAAATATCTGAAAAATAGTCAGGCAGGTAGAACTTGAGGTCTGAACTGCTGTACAGAATATTGAACCGGAGGGAGTAATTCAGCTCAGGTGACATGACATCAGGGTTGAGTTACTGGGTAGTTGCGGAAGGTACTTGATAGGGAAGGATCAATACAGATAGGTATTCAAATTCAAGTTATTGCCACCTAATTTTGTTTCTAAAATGAGTTGTAACTTCCTGTTACCATCACAGCAATTGTAGGCTACTTCCAGATCTAGCAAACATTTGGCTCAAATGGATTCTGGCCAGAAGTTCTTTTTACCTGCCCACCTTAAAATCTTTTGAAATCTGCACATGTGCCATGCTCTGTACTGCTCATAGTACACAACTGTGAAAACGTAAGATACTAGATTACGTTGCATTTAAGGTACTTGCACAGTGCACAGAAAGTATCTCACATGCTATTATATCAGTTTACTTTATCTTTTTTGCTTATGGTGTGTATTGTCATGTAACTCAACTAACAAAAAAAAACCCTATAAAATAGGGATCAATATCTTCACTTTAAAAATCAAGGCACTTAAGCACAGGGATTAATTGAGCAAGCTAAGGCCATACATTAAGAGAGATTCATCTATACCTACCTAACAGTTATCAATATTCACGGAACTTGGTATAAGCCTACAATACTTCTTTGTGCGTATACATGAGATGCTGTGTGTGTGTGAGAGAGAGAGAAACAGAGAGAGAGAGAGAAACAGAGACAGATAGAGACACAGAAACAGAGAGAGACACAGAGACAGAGAGGGAGAGGAGACAGACAGACAGACCAACAGACAGACAGACGAGATGAAGGGGTGTAGCCAAGCAGGAAAACTGAAATCAAGGAAGGGAGAATTTGTACGTACCAACATGCTGATGTAGACTTGTATATTTCTATCTTGCCTCTCAGGCTCAATCCATTTGGCCTACTTTGTATTTAGAAGGCATTGCCTCGCCTTTGTTCTTTAACCCTTGCTTTGCTGAGCTGCCTGACTTTGTGGCATACACCACAGGAGAAGCACTAGCGACCCAGACTGAAGCTCATGTATACCTTGAATGGATGGCAGATCATCCTCAGAAATTCGCAGCAATCCATTGAACAGTCAGTTACCTTTTCTCTTTCCTCGACTGTTTACCCATCCTTTCTAGGGAATATTGAAATAGAGTTCCTCCTTTTGTAACCATGTTTAACATTAGCTACTACTGGTTTTCCTTTCACATGAGTTCAGCAAATTCTTATTGGCTATCTTTGTGATGTTGAGCCCAACAAAAAGACTGCATGCTGGGAACCTGGAGTCCTAAGGAATATTCAATAGAGTTCAACCTGGAGACACTTTTGGTGAGAAGGAGGGTGGCTTTCAGAAAAGGTTATTCACAAATTTTTATGTAGTTTTCATCAGACAGTTAATAGAGGAATTGCAGGGTATTATGGGATCTCAGAGGAGGGAGAGTTATGTCTAAAAAGTGGCAAAGTGATGACATTTTATGTAAAATGAGGTAAGAGTGATTTAAGCATCACATTAGGTGAGCTAAGACATTTTAAGTAAAGGATCCATGACCAAAAGCTACAAATTACAAAGCCATGTTCTTGTATGATAACTAACCCATTTCATATGAAATTTAAAGTTTATTTATGTGTGTGTGTGTGTGTGTGCGAGTGTGTGTGTGTATGTGTGTCTATGAGTGTGTAGTCTTCAGAGCAGAGAGCTGGGGTGGATAGGATGAGAGTGTTGGTCAGAATGCATGGAAACTTGTTGTGTAGAAAAGAAACCTGTACCGTCCTCTTAGTTTTCACTATACTCCTAGTTACACACAGTTCCAGGGTCCATACAAAGCAATTAATAATTCCAGGTAAAATGTGCTCACACGACATTCGTGGAACTTGCCACGTAGTTTCACATCTTCAGTATTGGATGATTTGCTCTTCATCCCAGGATACCTCCTTCTCTACAGAGAGAAGTTGAAAACCTGTGGCCTGAAGGCTTGGAAAACCTGCTGAGTTCAGGAATGTAGGCCTGCAAGGCATGAAACCTGGTCTCTTTGCCCAGTATAAACAGGAAGTAAGTGATGGTCGTAATAAAGAAAACTGAGATTCTAGGTGGTTGCTGCTGGCAGACAACACCTGAAGCAACCAGGGGCCCAGGCACTCAGCTGGTAAATAATTGCTATAAAGTCAAGAATACTGTACCTCCTCCTCCTCCTCCTCCTCCACCTCCTCCTCCTCCTCCTCAGCCTCCTCCTCCTCAGCCTCCTCCTCCTCAGCCTCCTCCTCCTCCTTCTCTTCCTCCTCCACAAACACTGATGTGCTTCACCCCAACCTTCATACTGCCCCTGTGTAACTGGAGTTGTTAAAACTTGACCCTCTGTTTTCGAGACAGAAATAAAAGCGGGAGACAGAGGTGGGTGTATAAAAGCTTTTAGACAAAAGTATGTGGTTGGTGGCATTCATATCAGATGACACAGCGTTCCTGTCACAGAGATTGAGCTCAGGTGCTTGAAATGCTCAAGAGCCAGCTTGGGGACGTGGCCTTTTGTCTGCCACTCCTTTAAGGAGCAGCTTGTCTCTGTAAGCATGCCTGCCTCCTTTGAGAGTGTTCCAGACACGGCTGGGAATGAAGTGTATCTAATGAAATGCAGTGTGTTGAGTATAAAATAGTGTCAATATTTTCTTTCCAGCACTTAGATTCTGAGACCACAGGGGATCCACAAGAAATGAGGCTTAATGTGAGAGCCGAGGAAGTGTTCAGTAATCTAGTTTGACAAACACTGATCTCTAAGAAGGCATTACCATCAGACAGGTGGCCTTGGCAAATGGAAATGTTGAGATGAATTATTTTACCTTTTAGGAGACTGTGGATTTTAGATAGTGATGGTGATGATGATGGTGATAAAGGAGATAATAAGTACTGTTTGAGAGAATCTTAATAGTTTTTGTAATGATTCAGAATCTCAGCCTTATCCCATTGCACTCTCCTGCCCCTACTAGCACATAGACTCTCTCTCTCTCTCTCTCTCTCTCTCTCTCTCTCTCTCTCTCTCTCCTCTCATTATGTCTATGAATTTGATGGTATCAGTATCCTTATTTAAGGGAAGAGAATATGAAACTCAGAAAAGTTTAATAATTTACCCAAGGACTCACAGCTGCTGGGTACCTTGTTTACAAGTTAGATCTTTCTAATCCCTGTATTTAATGCTACATATATTGTGAAGCTGTATGTTCTATAGTTCAGAGAGTCATTTTTAATGAGATAGGGTCTTGTCACATAGCCCAGGCTAGCCTTGAACTTGTCATCCCCTTGTCCTCAGTATTGGGATTGCAGACATTGCTACACTATATCTTAAAAGGAAGGTAATTTCATCACTAAGGGATATTTGGTCAAATCTTTACTACTGAAGGATATTTAGTGATTTAGTGGATTTATTTTGGTTGTTTCAAAATTCTAGAGATTAGGCAAGATGATGCATTTTTAATCAAAGGAAACAGCCAAAAGCTACAAATTACAAAGCTATATGAAAAATTCTTAGATAATGATTAAGCCAATTATATGGAATTTAAAGTGTATATGTGTGTGTGTGTGTGTGAGTGTGTGTGTGTGTGTGTGTGTTTCAGGAAAGGGCTGGAGGTGTTTGGATGGTTGAATGGCTCCGTAGGATGGGAATGGAAGTTTGAATAAGTAGAGACGTCTTGTGTACTTAGCAATGCTCCAAGTGACTGAGGGACAGGTATCACAGAGTATGCTGTATACTTAAACTGTGAAAGCGATTCTACCCCATAGTGAAAATATATTTGATTTTAAAATTGTCATAGTCTCACAGTGGCTTACTATGTAGAGGCCACACTTAACTATGCTTAGAAATCTGGTTAATAATAAGTGGAGATATCAATTAAATGCAAGAAAAGAAAAAATGATATGATTATTAATCATTATTCATTAAAATTTACGTGTGTTGGTTATTCACCTACATCACTGTATATCACGGTGCTGCTGGATACCAGACGAGAGTGTCAGATCCTATGCAATTGGAGTTACAGATGGTTGTAAGCCACCATGTGTCTCTGAACCCCGGTACTCTATGAAGAACAAGAAATGCTCCACACTGTTGGGCTATCTCTTCAGTCCCAAAAGAAAAATAATGTTTTAAATTGGGTATGCAGGGAGGCATTATGAAAGTAGGAGGCTTGGACCTAGATTTCAAACATGAAAGGAAAAATGGAAAGTACAAAATGTTGTAGATTGAATTATGGACTGTGCAAGTTAGATAGCAGTTCAATGTTTTGAATTAACAATTCTCTTTTTAAAGTATAACATGACCCTAAACTATGCATAATGGAAAGAATAAAAATATCACCTTGGTTTGAATGAAGAGATTGAAGCAGGTTACTGGCTTGGCTTGCTTTTCTTTCTTTTTTGTTTTTAATAACTCTTGTCTCCAGTGCGAAGTTACCTATTACACTAACATTATTAATAATAGTGCCTTTATGATTTTCAAAAGAATTATTTGTAACTATATTGTAAGTACCAATTCTTTTAGCTGCAATAAATGTAGTTCTCATCTCTCATCAAAAAAGCTTCTCTATGGATCAGATGGAGACTTTCACAGAGATTCACAACTGATCAAAATGACATGAATGAGTGTCCCTTGGATGCCCAACCCCAGTTTATATTATCTGGAACACAGCCATACAACTAGGGTTCACTGAGCATTGAGAAAGGGGGAAGAGATGTAGAAAGATGGTAAGAGCCAGCAGACCAGGATGTCTGCTTCTAGCTATTATCTTTTGACATGGTAGGAAATATGAATGCCTGGATTTTCAAGAAAAAGGTATCCATAACAAAATGTGCATAATGAGATCAACTAACATATATAGGATGAAATTCCAAAGGTCCTGTCTCTACTGGCTCTAGTGGGCAATGGTTGCAGAGAGAGGGAAGAATCGGTTTCCTCCAGGGACAAGCTCCCATATAGGTTGTCCAATGGCAGATGGTAAGCCCAGAATACTAGACACATACACCACTAAATGGACTCTCTTCTGGTGTCTGCAGACCCAGATGGTCTCTGGATGACCTTCACCTTCAGTCTCTGTTCCATTTTTTGTCCCTTTCTTTCCACTGTACAGGAATATTTCTGGGTTAACAATTTGGAGATGGGTGGCTGGCCCCATCTTTCAACTGGGGGCTATACCTATCTACTGGGGGTGGTCTCTACAGGTTCTGCCTCCTCTTTGTTGCAGTATTTTGGCTAAAGTCATCCCTGTTGGGTCCTGGGAACCCCTCGCTTAAGGGTCTCCTTTTGAGACGTCATTCTTCATATCCTCTAATTGTGCATGATGTTTCCTCTTTTGTGTTCATAGGCATTTTCTGTTTCTTTTCCTGGTTACTATAACGACCTTTGTATTACTACAGTTGGTGCATTTCATAGACTACTTCATAGTCAATTGACTTGGAGGGTAGCAGTTGTTAATATTTGGCCTTTCACGTTCAGTAATGCCCAACAAGTGTCTAATTCATAATAGACTACTGGCAAATATTAAGCTGACTCTTTAATGTTGTACAAGTTATGAATAATGAAAAATAACTAAGGCAGATAATTTTACTATATGCATGCTTTATTAACTGAGCATTATATTAAATGCCAAGCAAGAGCAATGCCAACTTTTCTGAGAAGCCATTCATGGTTAAAAAGGAAGACTTGATGTCCCCAGCCAGGCCATCACCCAACTGGGAACTGACTAAGGAGGGGATGTTCCTGAGCTGCCCAGGAATCACTAACTTTATCCTTCTCCTTTTGTTTTTCAGTTGTCTGGGTTCACAGCTAAGCTTGTTCCAGCTATTGAGAATGCCCACAAGAATTCTTCCAGATCTGGAAATGGAAAGGAACTGATGGTGTTAACCCAACCCATCCTGATTGAGACCTACACAGGGCTCATGTCATTCATTGGAAACCGCAACAAACTTGGCTATTCCCTTGCTCGAGGGAGTATTGGCTTTTAAGACTCTTTATTATAAAGTACATTATCTATAGATAAACATTTTGACTAAGTTTACCACATTTTTAGATTATAGTAGTTATTTTCAGATAATATTTAAAGGACTGAATTTAGTAGTGTCTTAGGAAATCTAATAGCTTGATTAAACTGATAGACAATTTAGATCTCATATGAGAAAAATTGAATTTCCATCTGTGATGCAGTTTAAATTTAAATTTGCTAAAATGTAAACTTTTTCTTACATCCACATATACTTTTCTCATCTTCATTTTCATCCCTTGGACCCTGTTTTATTCTCTTTAGGCTCCCACTGGCTTTGCTATTTTGGCTACTATTTATGAGGGCACTCCAATCTACAGTTCCTTCTCTGATATTTATCCCAAGATTCAGGCTTTTCCTTATATCTGCCAGCCATCCCTACATCAGTGTTTCTAACACCCCCTTGTACTCAGCATTTTTCAAATCCAGATTTCTCTGTGGTGTATTCTATAATCCATCCTGGAAACTTGCCAGTTTCGATTGGTTTGAACTCTATTCCAAATGCATCCCGTTATACTAATACATGGATATGTGACATAGTATATTGTATCCTAGGTTAAAATGCATTCTCCTAAGGCTAGAAGTATAACTCAATAGCATAGAGTTTGCACAACTTGTACAAAATCTTGAATTTGTTCCTTTGCACTGAAGAGAAAAAGAAATATAATTACCCCAACTTTCTGAATTCCATCTTTCACTCAGAGTGTTGGATCAAATCTTTCATTGTTACCACAGTTTCTTAATTAGGATCCCCATGCCGAGGCTTTTTCAGTTAGTCATGTACCTCACTGTCAGTTCCTAAAGCACAATTTGATCATAACCTTCTGCAGTTGGTCAGTACCGTCCAATAGTGCATTCTCTTTTGCAGCTTTGTTTCTCAAGTACTTTTCAATGACATCCCGTCTTCTAATGAAATCTTTTGTGAAATGTCAGTCTGGGAAACAGAGAAATCAAGAGCACTGTGGTGGCCGTGGCAATGGACTGGCGCCTTCTCTTGTTCAGTTCATGATCTCAGAGGATTTGGACCGAGGACATAACTTTATCTTTGTCCATTTCACACCCATCCTTTTCTTTCCTTCCTTCTGTCCTCGACTTAGCTGTAACTTTGAACAATCTAGGGCAGTGGGTCATATCTTTTAGTTTCTTCCTTTTAAAAAAATTAAATCTTACATTTCTTTATCATAGAAGCTCTGAATGGATCACTATAAACTTTATTACGGGAGTTTTGTTTATTTTATGTGTTTTTATTGTTGTTTGTTTTGTTTAGTCTTGTTTTTTCTTGCTTCTCTTGAGACTCAGAGTTGAGATGCTTACCTTCATGTTAAGGTTGAAAGTTACAGATAATTCATTCTTTGGCTCCTCCTCTTTTACAGTGTTTCTCTTTTTAGAAACCTTGCTTCCTCAGAATCAAAGACTCAGGTCCAGTCAGTTATCAGTTTGGTACACACATTCAAAACTTGAACTGCCCTTAACTCCCATTACTATTTTGTTCCTTTCTCTGTGCCTCTTTGTCACATCTACTTCTTTACCCTATGATGGTAAACACTGTTCAAGTCCCTAAGGCAAGGAACTTCTATTGAGACCTTGAGAGGAAATGTTGAAATCTTTAGCTGTCCTGTCAACAGTAGTGGAATGAAAAGTCATTCAATAGCTCTGGCAGCACTTCTGAAGAAGGCGTTATTGGCCAATTATTTTAATATTGTTGCCTGAAAAGCCCCCATATGCCTTCAGGTAGTGGCATTTTCTGGCAGAAGCCTCTGAAATGTCTAGCTTGTTCTCTTGAGTTACTGTTTAAGGCTCTCCTTGATGACTGATTTCCTTGTGTATGTTTGTCCCTCTTGCAAAGCTCAGTCAGACATCCCTACATGACTTTCTATAGGACACAGTGTAGCATCCTCAGGGAAAGCTACTCAAAATGAAGAAGAGGAAGAAGAAGAAGGAGGAGGAGGAGGAAGAGGAGGAGGAGGAGAGGCTACTTAATCCCAAGATCTGGTATCTGTTTCATATGTTGAAGAGTGAGCACAGAGCTTCCATGCAAGCTTTCTCTGGTTTATCCATGAGACAGCAGTGTCAGGAATTTGAGAGATGTTTCTAAGTAACCACTAACATTTTTTGGCTGTCAAATATCCAAAGATTGAAGGACTACTTCCTGAAGTCTAGATCCTCAACTCACTTGATACAAAGGTGATTAGATAGCATGTACACTATGAACAGTATTGGTGTAGAACAATATCTGAAAAGTCAATATAAAATTCTCTAAACAGTTATTGCTAAACACTCAGATAATTAGGTACCTGTTTTGGAAAGAACTTAGGCAATCATGTAATTTCCTATAAAATTACTTTAACTTTCCTATTGGTTAATTTTTTTAATATATCCAAAATGGCGGGCCATTTATGCTTATTTCTCAGATGTGGAGCCTCAGTGAAATGGTGTCAAATCATCTCATTGACACAGAAAACCTTAAGTCCCTGCCTATATAGCAGGACTCTGCCAAAGACCAATGGTGAGGGGGCATCCAGAATAACTTAGTTCAGTTCCCAACAGGAATTATTTCTTTGTCACATGAAGCTACTACTATTTGATGCTTTGTGTTCTCACTGGGCTCTTTGTTCTTGTGCTCAACCAACAGCCACAGACCTGGGGAGCCGCGTCTGTACCTGGATTTTCCCCTCTGTCATCTGACACGTTCCACTAATGCCTTCCAAATGGAAATTATCCATCTATTTTGAAACTAGACTGGATATAAGAACCTTAAAACTAAAAACACATCCCCATAAACCTAGTCTCTCTTATCTGGTCTTTGTTTCATTCAGTTTTTCTCAATACAAAGTTCTGATGAGGCTTCCTTCAGAATCTGCTTGAATTCCCATACCAGAAACTGTCCCAGGCTTTCGATCCATCTCACATAACTCTTCTTCTGTTGATTCAGAACAAGTGGTGTCTCTCTGCCAGCTCTTTCATTTAAAAACATGCTGACTGGTGTAGTATAATTTAACTTTGCATGCCAGGGTGTGAGGGCATTTGGAAACTGAAGTAAGGTTGCCACATTTCTTGGTTTATGAGGAACGGCTTGTAATGGTTGACATGCCTGACTTCCCTGTGGTTGGTTGGACTGTTTTGGTTGCCAGACTTCAGCCTATCCTTTAACATAGAAAAGAGAAGCTAACTTATGTCTTGGCTGCTTCCAGATCCTTTGCCTTTAGACCCAGTTTCATTGTCCCTTTGTTGAAACACTATTAAAGGTGCCAATTTACAGAGCCCCGGGGCTAAGGAAGGATAGAAAGCTTCCAAACCAATGCTTTCATTTTGCAGAACATGAAACACAGGCTTAGAAACTTTTAAAAAAGCCAAAAAAAAAGAAAGAATAGAAAGAAGAAAAGATGATAAATTCTTGATAGTGTTGGAATTAGTCTACATTTTCCAGTTCCTATTATATCTCATTGCTGTGTTCAATAGAGCACCTCCATTCCCAGGGAAAAGTATTCATTTCGATCCTTGAATCACAAGGCTGGGTTAATTTTAGAGTGAGAAAACAATAGGCCATAGTTGTTTAGGGGGAATTTCCAGAAATTACTTTTATTTTCTTAAAGGCTAAGGTCACTCATGGAACACTCTCTGACTTCCTATCTGATCAAAACGCGCAAACAAAGCTACGGAAGCCACCAGAGCCAGCAGATGTTTTGTAAGATGGCTTTACCTCTACCTGGCATTTCATAGGGCAACAGGGAGAGGGCAAAAGTATTAAATTTAGTCTTAAAGCTCCTTAGAAATTCTTTTCACACAAGAGACCGTGCTGGAGAAAAGAAGATGACTTATGCCAAGGGGAAGAAAAAGAGAGGCTAATGCCTGTGGTTTTCGAAGGTTAAGAACAACAACAAAAAAACCAGCAGCCCAAGTATTTGCACAGGGATGAAATGCTCCCTGGCTTTTGGCCAACAATTATACAAGGGTTTGTGCCCACATCCTGTAGCTGTGGTTTAGGGACGCTGCTCATGAGTGACTTCTTATGCTCAGTGACAGGAAACTTTAGTCACCGATGTGTAAACTCACCTTTGGTCTGCACCTCCCACAATGAGCTCCAAACGCATTTTGGGGCCAAGCCTCCATATTTCCTTGCTGATGCCATTCCCTGGAAGCTAAGGAAGAATTCCCTCCCTTTGGACGGTGATGCTGCTGGATCAATAGTTATTCTATCTGGTTATCACAACCTGGTAAGCCACAAAGCAGAAGTATGATATTGTCTTCTAGATCCTTTTAAGCCCCCAGGTCCAAGGCACGAGGTAAGCCACATTCCATTTCAGGGATGCAACTAGATAAAATGTCAGGCCTTAAGCCTCGAGGCCCTTTCCCACCTCCATTTGAATTCTCGTCTGCTCTAACACTCAAATCAAAGATTTCTTATCAAATATTTCAGAAGTCTTCATTACGTGACACTGGGAGGTATGTGCAAGTTTGGATTAATTCATTTGAATGCATACACGAGGCATCTTCATGTTGTATTATGTGCAGAGAAATGTGTTGGAATTGGATTCTCAACACGGTCACATTGTTGTGTGTCGTGTCCACAATGCTATCTTGGACAACTTAGAACTTCCTTCCTTTCCCTTTTGCACTGTTTTCCCTTCGTGGAACACAGGGAACTTTTTTGAAAGGGGCCTTATGGATTATCTTGTTAGCCTGCTGCTTGGTTCAAGGAAGCAATCAAGCTTTTTCACTAATGTTCCTGTGCATAGAATTCTCCATAACCCTCATTTCACTTCTGTTTTCCTTTTTTTTCTTTTTCTTCCTCTTCCTCTTCTTTTACTTCATCTTTTACTTTTTCCTCCCCCCTCCTCTCGCTCCTCCTCCGTCTTCCTTCACCTCCTCCTCTTCTTCTTCTTCTCTTTGTACTTAGAATTGAACCCAGGTCTCCAAGCAGGGCAAGTGACCACTCCACCACTGAATAATTTAGCCCATCCTCTT